CCCCTCCTTTGTAGAAGGTTCTGTACAAGGGGTGAGATCTTAAGCAAAGATGCCACTACCCAATCTACCACACATGAAATAACACATATCTCAATGTACCAATAACGAAAGCCAAGAATGTAATGAATCTGTAGGAATTTTTTTTAAATATATTTTTATTGATTTCAGAGAGGAAGGGAGAGATAAAAACATCAATGATGAGAGAGAATCATTGATCGGCTGCCTTCTGCATGCCCCCGACTGGGGATTAAGCCTGCAACCCAGGCATGTGCCCTTGACCGGAATCGAACCAGGGACCCTTCAGACTGCAGGCTGGTGCTCTATCCACTGAGCCAAACCAGCTAGGGAGAATCTGTAGGAATTTTAAAGTGAAATGTTGTCTTTAAAAACTTCAAATTATGGTGAATAATTAAGAGTTGACAATTGACAGACATTTACTTATATCTCTATTTTCAATACTGATATTTCATATAATTTATATTTATTTCATTAAACTCTGGAGATTGCCACTAAGACAAATAACATGATTTTCTGGCCTATAGAAAATTATAATTTTCTCAAATAATCTGTGTTGCCAAAACAAGAAAACTCTGAAATTATAAAATTGTTTACTTAGAAAATTAATGATGACTACAAACTTTGGGAAGGCCCATTACAGTTAGGCAGCTTTTCCTGACAATTAAATGTTTTGTTTTTATTTTTATCCTTCCCCACCACTCAAAGTTGATACTCAATACTTAGAAGTTCCTTCTAAGTTGACCTTTATTGACCTGTGTACACTTAACCAGCATCTTTTCTGAACTGTCCGACATGCCCGAAACAAAGCAGCATGCTCCAGCTCTGAACAGCCAAGTTCTTTTGGAAGGAACTCAGTTCTCTGGAATTAAGCACAATAATTATTTAAGAGTAGTTTTTTGTGTCATTAAGTTTTTGTACTTTACACTGACATAACTACCACTGAGAATCACTTGTCTTTTTTACCCTCATTTGGAGCTTTTTTAGAATGACTTTTTAAATTTTTTATTTTATTATTTTTAAGAATGACTTTTGTTTTCATCAGTTTCATCAGTACATTGCTACAGCTAACATCTAAGAAACATCTATAGCTAACTCTGAGGAACATTTTACATACATAATCTCATGTGATTCTCACAAAATAAAATCTCTGTGACAAATATTATTACTGTGGGCATAATATAAATGAAGGACAGGGTCATATAGCTATCATGAACTGAGATTTGAACCTGTTTGTTATGACTCAAATTCTATTTTATTTTTGCTATTGTTACACATGTGAGATGAAGTTTATTAACATTCTTTTCTTTACTACTTTGGCTAATATTTTTAACTTTATAGAAAAGTTCTTATTTTTCTCCATGGTTGGGGCAGAAATACATGTTCAAGTGGAAATAGATATTTGTTGGTGGCCTACAAAGTATCCTGTCCTTGCCCTTCCTTAGAGCAACTAGGACTTCCTCTGAGAATGTCTTCTCCCATTTTGCAGCAAGCACGTGGTTGGAATGGAATGGGCCCCATTTCCTCTTCTAGGTGTGGACGCTAACTGGTATCCATCCATCTGTTAACCTCATTCTGATGGTTGAGGAAGGAACAGTCATTTAGCTTAAAGTCAATCAGGACATGGCATTCATTTGACTTGGGTGATTGGTTCAGGTTGGTCCTGAGTGAAATTCAGGTGCTTATGTCAGGATAGACAAAAAGAAGGCCTCTGTCTGGCTCCAGCTAGTGTGATGTATGCAAATGAAACCTGGAAATGCTATAGCTATTTTGCTATCATTGGAAGCCAATCTAAGTGAACTGCCTAAAAATTCAACCAGGTTTTGGTCAAGCCCACTTGGTACTACAGAACTTATAGTTACATATGCTAATAAATGTCTTTTATTGTTTGAGTAGCGTTTTGTTTTGTTTTGTTTTGTTTTGTTTTGTTTTGTTTTGTTACTTAGAACCAGTATTGCTTAAACTGATAGAACCACTCTCACTTTTATTTCTAAATTTTATTTTTTGTTTTACTTTACTTAACCAAGAAGTTTCTCCCAAATATCTTCTTTTAAGGATACCTTCCATATTTAATTTTGTCTTTTGAATACCATTTGTTTTAAAAACTCATTTAAATTCGTCTCTAAGTTTCTCTAGTATCCCAATCTTCTCTTTCTCAGAGTTTAAATCACTTAAAATTCTTTCCCTGAGACCCAGTGCACTGAATTATCACAGTTCAAGGTCATCAGTAGCAAAGACACCTTTTAATTTCACATTGTAAATTAATTAGTTACTACCAATAAGCTCAGAATATAAAACAAATGTTCCTGCAAATAAACTGTAAATATAATATGGCTTTGCCTCCATTTAGATCCTAAAAAAAAATATAATGTTAGTGGTGGAAGGAGCCTTAGGAGTCATCTAATCATAATTATTTTAGAGATGGAAAATTAGAGTAAAAAGAAATTAAGTGACATGCTTAATATCTCAAAGCTAATGGCAGGTCTCCTATGATTCCTGGCTCTTTCCATTAAATCATGCCTCCTCACGTGCAATGGAGCCTATAAAAATTAAATAAATAAAACCAGCATTTCAGAGGACCAGTATAATTCCACAATGTCTGGTGTAATCAGTGTGCCATAAACCAAGTAACATAAAAAAAGCACTGACTTGCATTGAATTGATTTTCAAGTCTCAATGGAAATTAATATAATTTGTGGTTACAATTCTATTTGAACTTTAAAAGTCACTGAAAATTAATTTTTAATATAGTTCAGATCATTGATTTCTTAATGCTAGGAAAATTTATTAAAGTAACATGTACATTGTTTTTATAAAACAACAGAAATTTTAAATATGAAAGAATAGGAATTTTGGTAGGCTTTTCTTTCCCTACTTTAAGATAGTAACACTTAAATGTTTTTTTAAATGTTAGGTGCTTCCTATAAGGCAGATAGACATTTCTCTTTTGTTCTCTGTAGCATGGCTCTTCAAGCCTCTCTGATCATCAGAATCAGCCTGGGTCTCTATAAAATTATAGATTCTCAGCTATATCTAGAGCCAGACCCTCAGCAGGAGGGCTCAAATGTCTGTATTGATTCTGCTAGTTGGTCAAGTTTAGTTAGGAAGCACAGCTCTATAGTATTCTATAAAATATGTATTTAGCAATGTTTTACTATAATAAAAAATATTCCATCAGACAAACATACGTGTTCATTCCCTGAACAATGGATGAAGGCTGGATTATTTACCAAGATAAGCCACATTTCCTGTATTAATGAAAATAAGCATATAAAGAAAAGCCAAATTTTATTGTCTAAGATGCTCTAAGGTACACTATTATGTACCCTTAAAAATGTTTATTAATTAAGCTGAAATGCCATCAATTGTAAGATGCCTTGTGATTTCAGAGATGATAAAAACATGCATTTTTAAATTGATGAAGTACAATAAGTTCTACTCTTGTAATTAGAGTTACAATGGTGCCTGCCACATTGAGAGTGAGTAAAAGACAGAGAATAACCTGTAGGCTGTGGAGAAGTTGAAACTCGTATTAATAATTCTAGCAATGCTACTAAGACATCTCTGTGGCTCTTATATACTACTTCTAAGCCTTTTCTGATAACTAGAAATTATCTAGTTATCTGCTGAGAGCTCTGAGCTCCCATACTACCTTGGGAGATTTGGATAAAATTGATTCCAGAATGGAGCCTTTCCTTCATCCACATATCTAACTTTAATACAGCACACACACACACACACACACACACACACACACACACTTCTCAGAAAAGTCATCAAGATGCAAAGCATTGAAAACAAAACAAGAAAAAAAAAACTCTTCACAAGGATGACATTCAATTGTCACTGTGTATTGAGGTGGGAGAATCTAATTTCAAAAGTTTTCATATTATCACTAGAGGCCCGGTGCATAGGTGGGGTCCTTTGGCTGGGCCGGTGATCGGGGCGATGGGAGCTGTCTCACCCAGTCTTGATGATCGGGCTGGCATGGGGGAGGGACCGCGGAAGGTTGGCTGTGGGAGCACATTGACCACCAGGGGGCAGCTCCTGTGTTGAGCATCTGCCCCCTGGTGGTCAGTACACATCATAGCTACCGGCCGGTCATCTGGTTGTCCAGTCCTAATGGTCACTTAGGCTTTTATATATATAGATTGCTTGAACCAAAATTGTGGGAGTTACATTTCCTTTTGGGCTATTCAACTTGGTTCCTGTAGCTAACTATAGAAATGCTTTTAGTTTGTCTCATGAAAGAAAAGCCAAGATTTAAACTTAAAATTTTTGGTTTTAATAAAAGAGTAGTTACTGAAGATTGTGAACTAAATTTACATTCTAGCCAAAGTGAACCTCTTTTCCATTCTCCCTCCTTAATATTCATTATTAGTAATGATACATTGGATTTATCTCTCTGGTTGTTTCAAAACTACCTATACTAATTTTGTGGACATAATAGCCTTCCTTATTCATAATATTAATGTTATATATTTTAGAATTCTTTCTTGGCTTCTCTGCTAACTCAGTGTCATTTGGTATTGAATATACTGCTTCCCTTTATGATGGTGGCTTTCCTTAAGCGTATGATCTTTCAGATTGTGCATTCATCTTTACTACTGAAAGTCCTTATTAGATTGTCGTGGGGCATCTATTTGTATAGTTACTTTGGAAGAGAGTGGGAATTGCTGCTGCAGCTTGCACACCACACTGTTTTTAGCAAAAAAGCATGTGTGGCAAGAGATGTCACCGGGAAGTGGCTGTTTTCATGATTTTGGGTGATCCCTTTTAATTAGGGTGCCACTTTCATTGTTTGCAATTGGACGCAGACTTGCTGCTTAGGTTTTGTGATCCAAGGTAAGGACAGAATGCAACATGCATTCTGACTCCTTACTACTGAACTTCAAATAATGACCCTATCCAATGCCCAGGCCCCAAGTACTTTCTCCACTGTGTCTGCAGCTCACCATTAGTTCTCCCCTGCACACATCCTGACCCATAAGTTCTCTATTCAATTGGATTCCATTTATTTTCCAACATTCATGGATTCATCCGCGATTCTGGTCTTCTGAGTTCAAGAGCAGTTATATATTTATGCATGTTGTACGTGTAGCTTTGGAGGTCCAGTGAAGGTGGGTTGAGTGTCAGTTGCTCTTTTTTTACCTCTTGGCTTCATATTGCAGGGACGGACAGTGCCTAGGCCCCTCTGTCTGCTTCTGGGTCTGTTCGCTAATGAGAGACACTGGCAAAAGATTGGAAAATTAGAGGAGGGGCAAGCCATGGTGTTTCTCCCCCTTCTCTCTGTTTTTCTTGGCATCTCTGGCAATGGCTTCTTAGGATCCCAGGCCAAGGCTCGACCCACAGCTGAGTGGCCCTACCTTCTGAGCTTGTTACCAAAGCTTAGAGATAGTAGCTTCCTGTTTTTGAATATCTTTTATTTCTCTCTGTTTCCTGTTTCCCTTTTCCACATTTCCATCATGTGGTAACCAATCTCCTGTGTTAAATTCCTTTCATTTAAATACCTAGAATGGCTTGGGTTTGTTTTTTTCTAGTCCCTGAATAATACAGAGTGAAAACCTAAAGCAAGTTCTCAATCTGCTATCTTAAAAATGAACACATAGTAACATTAATGTAACTGAAAAGCACAGTTTAAGTGCTATTTAAAATCACCTAAGAAACCATGAACATGTTCTCTGCTTCGAGTCCAGAACTCCTTAGCTAAGTAACATAACGGGACAGCTGGGACCACGCAGGTCCTCCCACGGCCTCCGCTTACCAGCAGTGCCTCGGAGACGATGATGGTTATGTATCTAACTCTGTTCATTCCGTTTTTGTATTTGTCTAAATAAAAACTGTTTTCAACTTGTGTTGCACCTGCTTTTATGTTCAAAACAGGATTTTGATGTCAAATCCAGCCACAGTTTGCAGTTTGGTGAGTCCCTCGGTGCTACCACGCTCAGCATGAAAGACACTGCTCTGTTACCAAGAGCCTTTAATTATCTGCATATTTCATTGCGTTGGCAAGCACTTTACCTTCTTGTTGCCTGTTTAACTCTAGAAATAGAAGTCCTTGTATTTGTTTTGTCTAAAGAGAATTCCCTCCCTGGGTGCTCCCTCTCTCATGGCTGTGAGGAAGAGAGAGTTAGGGGTCCCTGAGCTGCCCGGAGTATTTCCCCAGGACCCTGCCTCTCAAGAATCATCAGTAGCTCCTCCCCCCACTCTGTGCCCTCAATCAACATTTTAAGTTTAAACCTGCTATTATCCATTCCCTTTTGTAAAACGATTCAAGATTACCCACTAACTCTTTCAGCATGATGTTTTTTTAACTAGAGACTAATAAATGGCCTAACTACTTTTTTTCTCAGAATATTTACACTTCTGAACTAAACACTGAGCTATAAGTCCTCCATGTGATGGCCTGTTCACGAGTATTTGTAATTGAAGTGATCACATATTGTACTATGAACAATAAACATTAATTACAATTAAATGTGACAAGTAAAATTTTCAGTTTGGATTGTCCTCTAAATTCCGAAAGCAACATTAGATCTGTTTAAGGGCTGTGGGAGGCTGAAGTTTAATAGCCAGATAGAAGCTTTAGACAAAGAGCCTGACAAAGCAGCTTCCAAACACAGTTCCCAAGATTTTTAAGAGGGTCCGTGGCTGCTTTGCCAAATCACCAAATCAAAAAAACGTGTCGGTTTACTCAGCCTAAAAGATTCCATAGGGTTAGACCCTTTGAAGATGGCTGAAGAACTGCTGCCAGGTAAGAAAACAAAGTTTTGATATGCCATTCTGGAATTTACAAGAGATGCTTCTTTATTCTGCACACTCTCACCCACCAGCAGCTTCACCCACGGGTCTGACTGAAACAAGATAGCTCAACACTGTGTCTCAGATGTTTGTGTGGATGGGAAAAGTCTTACTTCTACAAACAAGCTGGAGCAGGACTTGGTGGAGTGGCAATGTCTTTTGACTGAGACCAAGGCAGTGGACAATGTGCATCACTTCTGGACTGATTCATCCACCCTCCCTCCGCTTTCCATCTGGAACTACCATTGCCAAGCAGTCCATGAAGGGCACATTTGGCAGGGCGAGTTGGCGGGCTGTGGAAGCACTTATGCTTCAGAAAACTCTTTTGTTCATGGCAGGGCTGTATTCTGGAGGGACAGCCAGTGCAGACACATTCAGCATCGGCTTTCAGTCCAGGCTCACGCCTTCCTGCCTGGATTTCTGAGCCACAGGTATGTTAATCACTCCAGCCCAGGGATTCAGTGAAAAATAAACACCGAGGTGATAACTAATTAGAAAGGCTGCATGTTCCTCTCCTGCAGCAAGTTAAGTGTTTCTTCCTGCCCCAAATTGGCTCTCAGGAAAGGAGGCGTGTAATGTCCTCAGGTTTGCGTTTACATTGGTTCGTTTTTCATCAGATTCTCCAAACTTTGATACCTGTGGCTTGATATTCATACATTTTGCTTGGATTTTCAACTTCATTCAAAACCCATATAACTTCCACAACCTGTTGAGACGAACCAGATGAAAGATTTCCAACCACATCCACTCACCAAGCCAATTTGTTGCTGTTTTCTTAGGGTTTCTGATCGCCCCATCTGTGTGGCTTGGTTTGTGTGAGGCCGGGTGGGAAAATATTGCCTAACTAAAGGAGTGTTAATCATTTCCACTAATAGAGAAAACGTTTTTATTGCTACTTTACTGATGAAATCTTTCCCCAAGGCAAGAAAAAATAACAAAATCCCTCCTACCTGCCTGCCTCAAAAGAATTCTAATGTGTCTGGGAAACTACCATCCCTGAGAGATGTTTACTGAATGCCCTCATCAAGGGAGTGGTACTCCTTTGGAAATAAGCATTAGGTCAGGAAAGAGTAAACACTGAACTTGGACTCAGAAGTTCTGGGTTCAAGTTTCAGTCTGCCAGTCATCAGCTGTGACCTTGGAGAAGCATAGTTATCACTTATTGAACATCTCAAACTTGCCAGGCATTTGACATTCATTTCTGAAATGTCAACGATGTTAATAATTATTAACCCCCCATTTAGAGATTAAGATAAAATAAGATACAGAGGGTTCCGTGACCTGCTCACCTACAATTTGTGGGGCCAGGAAACATCCTTCGGTTTTATTTTCGGACTCCGAAGCCTCCTGCCATTTCACTATCCTGTGATAAGTCATTTCCTTTTACTGGATCTTAGTTTCGATTTATTTTCATCTGAAAAAAAAATGAGATAATTAAGCTAAACCTTGAAAACCCCTTTGAACTTGGATACCCTGTGATCCTATAATTGAGCGTAAGCCTTAAACTTGTAGAGATTATAGTTTGGTTCAGTTCAGCCCAAACAATACACGTATTTATAAAATGAAGTTGAACGGCATTGGGTAGGAGGTGGGACGAGATTAAGGGTCTGGTATTAATCTGGGAAAGCTTCCGGCCTAAAGGGTTTTCATCTGGTCCAGGCAGGAAGAGACACGATGTAGTGTGTGCAGATGGGAGGAGGTCAGCGCCAGCTTCAGAGGGTCTCTGGGAAAACACTGTTGGGGCGGATTCAAAGTGAGAGACCATTAGCAGGTCTGGCTGGCTGCATGACAGACGCTCTGGATCAAGGCCCCCGTGCTGAGGAGAATGAAAATGGGCCCTTCACTCCATGGGAATTCAATAAACATTATTGACTGACTGGCTGAGGTGAAGTGAACTGCAGGATTGCTTTGAAGCCCGCAGTTACAAGCTATAATTGAGGAACTGTCAGGAGATTCAAATTCATGGAAAACCATGAAAGAATAATGTTCCCATGTTTCAGAGCTTGCCAAAATATAAAGTTTCCTTTCTGCTGTTAATTTCCTCCCCCTTCTAATTCATTTTTTAAAAACTTTTCCACCAAGGAGCTTATTTTGTAACTATGTATAATTGATGTTTAGCATCTTTCTTTTTCAGAAACTTCAAAATGCTAGCAAATGTTGACAATTGTAACTTTTCTAATATCCCAGGGGGGAAAGGGCAGTAGTTGTAAATACTATTTTTCCCCTGACAAACAGGAACGCTATGAAGAAAAGAATTCTAATATCCACAGGATCACTAGCTACACAATAACATAAATAAATGCAGGCGGGGAGCTCTAGCCCAACTCTGTTTGGTGAGTTCCTGCTCTTTTCCTCTAACACGGTATTAATCATCGGCTCCTAAGAGTGGCTTGGGAGATACAGTCTTTGAACCTATAAAAACAATCATATCTACTCTGTGCCAGTCACCTTGTGCTATGCACTTCAGGTATATTACCTTTAAACTTTAAAGCAACTATTTAAGATAGAGATTTCAGGATGGAGTGACATAGCCAAGGTGGCAAAGCCAGGTTGCCACGCTGGTCTGTTAGACCTCCACCCCTTGTTCCTTCCACGGTGCACTTTACAAAGTCACCTATGGGCCAGCAGGTGCCTGGCTTGTCCCTAACAAAAGTCATCGATATGACCTTTGATCATCACTTCAAATACCTTTATAATGTCCTTTACAGAATCACTTGAAAGGTGCAATAAAGCACAGCCACGCCAAAATATTTTCTTCACCTTGGCCTGGAAAGAAATGTTCAATTTTGAAGTTAATGGGTAAAACTAGAAAGAAGGGAGATAAGTGTGAAGGAATGTTTACCAGAAAGTTAAACTTACTTTGTAAATGGAACTCTGTGAATTCCATTTCTCCCAAAGATAAACAATGACACAGGGCACTACAAAAATCAGACCCATCTGCATTTAAACACATATGCCTATGTGCACATAGATGGGCGCCTGTAGTATACTTGATTGCTTTATTTGATAATTTTTTAATTAATAAAATTCACTAACAATTTTACTTTCTAAGGAAAACACCCAGAAATTAATAATCTTCTAGGTTATCTAGGTTAAGTAGGTGTAAATACTAGTTTCCAGTTCTCAAAGGATCCACACAATACAAATAATGAGAAATGCATGAGGTGCATCTGTCTGTTAACTCATCTTACACGAAGGACAAGAGGTCTCAGAAATCACAATAACGTGGTCATTTCACTTTATTGAAGGAAAATTATAGATGCCTTAGGGAAGATAAGCAGCAACCAAAGCTGAAAATACAGAAAGTGAGCTGCACCCCGGGAGGAAATTACCAGAACATGGAAAACAACCTTTTTTGATCTCCTGACTTCGATTCCATTACAATTCATTATGTATCTTCACACTCTGAATCTGTGAGTGTCTTTGAACGTTGTTTCGTGCTCCTAAATGTAGAAGTTAAGTACAAACACTAGGAATGAGACCTGGGTAAACAGATGGGGTCCGCCCATGAGCTCAGGGCTGAATCCCCAGCTAAAAGTTTTTCACGTCAAAACAAATGTGTAAACTAAGAAATATTTCTTGGTAAATGCCACCAATCTGACTATCCCCACAGGCACTCAGAAAGCCTTAGCTACAAAACTGGCATGGGAGGGTTGGGTGCGTGGAGACATCAGTCAGCCGCTAGCATTTGGATCAATAACCACTACAAAAATAATCACTCCAAAAGCAATCAAAAGGCTTGTTATTGTTTACACCATTATTTTGTATTCATGCATTTACTACAGCCATTAAAATAGTATTTTGTTCAAAGTAAAAAATAGCCATTATGTTGGTTATTTTATGTCATCCTGATTAAAATGTCCTTTTTCTCTGGTACCTCTAATAAACTTTGTATGTTCTTTTTTTTATATAAATTATTGAATGAAGAAAAAAGTTTATATTTCTTGAGATGTACATGGATTCTTTTTCAGTTCTTTCCTATGTAATTTCTCCTTTTTAGACACAAAATTAAGATTCAGGAGGACTTTTTTTTTCAAATTCCAAAATTTAGTTAGAATTTTTTACCCATTACATACGGTAATTGGATGCAATTTTAGAGCCATTTTCCAGGTTGGCTGTACAGGTGGAACTTTGGGATTTTCTGGCACATCAAATACCTAATACCTTTTGTCCTTCCTTTCAGAGCAAGAACACGCCCATTGAAATGTTTCACTATGTGCAACAGCATGGATGGAACTGGAGAGCATTATGCTAAGCGAAATAAGCCAGTCAGAGAAAGATAAATATCACATGATCTCACTCATATGTGGGATATAGTGATCAACATAATCTGATGAACAAGAATAGATCCAGAAACAAATGGCAGGGGAGGGGGGGATTAGAGAGCAACCAAAGGACTTGTATGCATGCATATTAGCATATCCAATGGACACAGACACTGGGGGTGGTTGGGGGCTTGCCCAGGAAATGACAAGGGGGGGGGGGTGAAGTGGGAGGGGGGGAAGGAGACATATGTAAAACTTTAGATAATAAATAAATAAATAAATAAATAAAAGAGAAATTATACCTAAGCAGATTACTATTCATGCTTATTAATGTGTTCATTAAAGAAGTACTTATTAAAAATGTGGAAAAATGTTTCACTATGGTTTTATTAAGGAAACTAGTAATAAATATTATTCTAATAACAGCCCAAGAAGGTAATCTATGTATCTCATTCTTCTAAAAACTGTTAACATATAGGGGTGGGCAAAAGTAGGTTCACACTTGTGAGTACATGAAACAGAGATTTTACTCTTGTATAATTATTTATTAATTAATTATGTTATTTTCTATATGAACAACTCTTAACCTACTTTTGCCCACCGCTGTGTATTGCCCTCATATTTTAAACTGTATCTTAACAGTCTTGCATAGTCATCACAATGGACAATCTCTGGAATATGGACCATATTCACAGAAGTAACTGCCATAAATGTCTGACATCCGAATTATCACTAATCTCCATCAGTAGCATTGTCTTTCATTGCAAAGTAAAAACTAGACCTTCATTTTATGGTACTGGATTAGGTACCACATAATCAAGCCCAATAGACATGATCTGCTCTTCCTATAAGCTTTAAAAATAAAAATGCTGATATCTTCTTATCAATACATATAATGATGTTAATCCCACCAATATAAGTCCTGATTTCTAATTGCCTTAGTAGCAAAAGGCACAACAAAAGTGTGTTGACCAGAATTCCCATCAGGGAAGACATGGAAATTCTTTTAAAAAAAATTCATACACACTTGGAGTTAAAGGTGCAAGTAAAATTGTCTTACAACCCTTCTGCAAGATAAAGTGGAAAAATGTCCTGGTTATATCAGAGAGGTATAGAAAGGAGTGAAAGTAAAGGAAGATAGGAAGAGAGGGAAAAAAGAAATAACAAAAGCTGGTACCGTACATGAGACCTCATTTTCCTAGTATGTTCAATAAAGTTACAGAACCCAAGCTTACTTCAGTTTTTGTAAACTAATTAATAAATGTATTTACTGTTTCTTCAATCATTAAAAAGGGTGACAAGGAGAGCAGCCGGGGTAGCTTTAATGGAGAGGTAAAGTGGACAAAAGGAAGAGGAAGTGAACTTTAAATTATAGGAGTTTTGAGTCAAGTTCTACTCATACTTCAAGGAGGGGGAAAGGACCCCAAATGGAGTATGGGTTGTATAAGGTTTTTCCAAACCTTTCTGAACACAGTGCAGCAAATTTCTCAAGCACAATAGTCTCCTATAGAAAACTGTCTCCTGAAGCAAAATACTCATTACTGTTTGCCCTAGATGAAAATTATTAAATTAACCCATTTTGATCAATATTATTGTATCATATAGATTTGCCTCTTATGCCTATAATTCTGAATTTTCTTCAGTTAGATCAAAGCTGAGTTGGTTATGCTTTCCAAGTTTCAAAATAATGTATATCTCTCAAAATGCTTAAAATTTGCTAAGGATTGTATATTTTCAAATTATGAAGATGAAGTAAATTATTAATTCTCTTTATGCTATTGCCACATGGCAGTCCCATTTTGGCTGATAAATAGAAGTACTTGTCACCATTTTTCATTCATATAGATAAGTTGGTCTTGAATTATGCATATTATTCAATGTAATCAGAATCCTTTTTTTTTTGGCATAGACAATGATCATCCTACTATCAAATTGGGGAAAGCATCAGAGAACAGCTGCCATACGATATTGAACTTGGATGACAGAACTGTAACAAGGAGAAATCAGAAGATATCATTTCAGAAAGAGGTAAGACATGGAGACAAGAAATCAGAGTATGTTTGAGGAAGAGCCTATGGTCCCATTCGTCTGGAGGGTGAGGTACAGGCATCAGCCTGAGGAGCCAGCTCTTGGCACACGTGTTGATGTTCTCATGATGGAACAGTGGTCAGGCTCCTGCAATGAGCTTTTTATGCAGCAGGTGTTGACAAGTGGAAACCAGAAAAGGAGAAGTTGGAGGATGCCAAGTGTTGACTACAGCTGGCAAATGACTGTGATTGGGAACAAAATTATTAACGTATGACTGTTGCCAGTCTTACCATCCACTTAACAGACTCAGGAAAAGTCTTATTTTTCTATACCATTTCTTCTCTTTCTCCAACTGCCTAAGAAGGCCCTTGTCAGTTCCATTATCTTGGTTCTCGCAATCAAGGGTAGAAAATAGACCCCCAATAAACTACATAATCAGAGATGCAGAAGAAAGCCTGTGCCATTGTTATTGGAATGTAATGGAATGCAACAATCTTCAGAACACCCCAATACACAAGCTGAAAACTTTCTCTTTCCTTCCTTCCTTCCTTCCTTCCTTCCTTCCTTCCTTCCTTCCTTCCTTCCTTCCTTCCTTCTTCCTTCCTTCCTTCCTTCCTTCCTTCCTTCCTTCCTTCCTTCCTTCCTTCCTTTCTCTCTCTCTCTCTCTCTCTCTCTCTCTCTCTCTCTTATTTATTTATTTATTTATTTATTTATTTATTTATTTATTTATTTTAAAAGCCCAGAACAAAGTTAGAATATCAGAAACAGAAGTTTAAGAAATATTCTCTGCAGGGAGTAGCATAGCACCTCTGTAATGGAGCATACATATAATTTATATCCATTGCTTAGTGGGATCAGGGCTATTGTGGTAGGCATAAATGACATACTGGAGAGATTTTTCTTCACTAGACAAGGACTAGGGAGACATTGAGGACTCCTGAACAAGGTGGTGTTGTGGTTAGTATTCTTTAGGAAGAATCCTCTAACAGTCTTATCCATATAAATGAGAAAGAAAAAATAGAAGACAAGTGAAATCTGACAGGAGACTTTGCAATATGCCAAGTGAAAGGTAATGAGAAGGTGTACTAAAAGGGAAGTGTGAGGATAGAAAAGAGAAAATGGCAACGTATTTGTAAAGCAAAATGAATGGACTTATTGTGGAAGGCAAAGGAAAAGAGTTGATGATTTGATGTTTGAGGTCTCAGGAAATGAAGGAATGGAAGTCCCTTAACAGAAGTATCGAAATACTTCAGGGTAGTAATAATTACCTTAATTTTACATGAGTTTTTTATGTACAGGTGGAACATCTGGGCGAGGATGCCCAATGGACAACTGGAAATATAAGCTCCAAGAGGAAAGGCCTGTGTCTGTCTCGCTGACTTTTCACCATGGTTTATCTCTGAACCCCAGCATGTAGTAGGTGATCAATAAACACTGATGAATGAATAAAGAATAAATGTAAGTCAATTCAATACTGTGCATTCTTATGGTAGACTATTGTAATTGTTCTATGCTTGCTTCCCTTTATTTATAGATTCTGAGATAAATATATATCTTCCATTTCCTAGTGCCTGATATACCTTAAGCCCTCAATACATGTTTGTTGAATTAATAGGTGAGTAAGTGCTCTTTTTTACATTCAAATAAGATAAAACTTACTAAATATCTTATCAACATAAATAGATAAATATCCATACCCATAAAACTTACTTTAAAGAAAGAGTGACAGTACTAAATCATGGGTTTGTCCCATCACTTTGGAAATATAACCATAGGTGTTTCAACATTTGGTAATTCTGTTTGACTAATAGCCTATCTGCATCATCAGTAATTATAACTACAGAGAGCCTGAAAAGACCTTTGGGCAACAATTTGGAAATGATTGCTTGAAGGTAAATATTTTTTAATTTATGAATGGCTGGAGTTTCCCCATACTCAGTGGTGACACATGACTCACTTTTGTCCCTAGAGCAAGCTTTTAGAGCTAATAGGAGCGGACAAACTGAAGGTCTCATAAGGTTCCTGGGATACGAATGCTTCCCAAGGTCCTCTCTCTATCCCAGTGGTGGGTGAGGGGCTTCATAAAGAAAATGGTGTTTCTACTTGGGGCAAACTTCTCATTTCATATTCTAGGTTAAAAGGGTTTGACAATATATTAGCATTGCATATAATATATTTATATCAAAAGGGTATCTGGTCATTATGGATCATTCACTTATGTTCCCATAAGTATATTTTATAAGTAAAAATATAAAATACAAAATTTTAGTCTGTAGTCATTTTTCCCCCTTGGGCTGAGATGGCTTCATAAAAGTTAAAATTTTAAAAAGGGCAAACCTTGAAAACAACATCTGGTGTTGACTTTGGAAATTAGAACCAGATATGCTTCCTTATCCATATTTCAGTTCACATGATTAGCCTGCCAGAATGGTAAAAGAGAAAAAGTCTACTAATTTAATTTTTGTTCTGTTTTTAAAGACGTAATAGAAATAGTTTAACACTTAAAGTAGCTATGGATCTTTTTTAAGTACACAGACCATCCCTGAATATACATAAATATCAGAATATAAATTTTATACATAGTTAGCATTATTGTATTTCACATTCAAGGGATTCACTAAGGGTTTCCTATAAGTAACAACAGGCAAACAGTATAAAAGGCTCATAGGTTGCTTTTAAAACTGGTTTTCCAAATAATTTATGGTACATGGGTTCCTGAGAAAAAAATTGAGAGCAAATAATCATTTGATTCGGCCATGTCACAGGCATTAGTACACATCCCATTTGGATCTCATTAGTACACATCCCATTGTAAAAGATGAGGTAGAATTTTTGTTATTTTTAAAACTTCAACACATATTCGCATTATGAACAGAATAAAGATACACACAGCAACTCTTGGACAGGTGATTAATAGAATTTTAAGTTGGTACTTATGGTTTATCAAGTACTATAGAGCCCATTTTATTTTACACTTATAAAACATTTGAAGTAAGCCAAGTACATATTATTTCCATTTAACAGATGATAATATTGAAATATGCAAGCATAGTATGTGACATAGTTACTTTCATACAGCCAATAAGTACTAGAACCTAGAACTTCTGTATCTTAGATCAGAGTATTTTCCATTATTTGATACTATGCTTTTACATGATGAAAATCCAACAAACTCTATCCCTAATTGACTGATATTTGGTACCTAGAGTTTAATTGCACTCAATCCTAGAACAATCTACCTAAGGGAAAAAATAGCATAAAAAACGAACATATTAGCATTGTACTTAGAATATCTATGTGTTAAGAAATCCATTAGATCTGAAGCTTTTTTAAAAAATATATTTTTATTGATTTCAAAAAGGAAGGGAGAGGGAGAGAGAGATAGAAACTTCAATGGTGAGAGAGAATTATTGATTGGCTGCCTCCTGCAAGTCCCAACTGAAGATCGAGCCTACAACGTGGGCATGTGCCCTGACTGGGAATCGAAACATGACCTCCTTGTTCATAGGTTGACACTCAACCACTGAGCCACTCCAGCTGGGCTGAACTTATTATTTTGACAGAATATCTTTATTAATGGATGTTTCTAATTAACTATATAAATGATTATATTTTCTATTTCTTCAGTTGTTTTACATGTAAATTTCTCCATAATCTTTCCATTTCAAGAAATTCTACAGTCATGAAAATATGGTGTTTGTTCATTAAAGTGTAGAAAGAAAATACAATTATCTAATGTATATGCTACATAAATAAGATTTATTTTCCTTTTATTCAGGGGGGATGGGAAGACATCTTTTAAAATCTGCTCTACATCTTACAAATGAGAAAATTGAAATGGGATCGTTCCCTTTTTTAAATAGGGTTTTTCATGGTGGCACCGCCCTTTGGCTATTGTGTTAAGGTCAGTTCCAAAGTCCTATTATCAAGTTTCCCAAAATTAGCTTGAGTGCTGGGACATGTTTCCATTTTCTCAATCCCTCCATAATTAATGGACGGGCAATCCTGTCTCTTAATAGAGGATTAACAACAACAATAACAGTAGATATCTCTCAATATTATAATTTGTTATAGATTTTCAGTTGTGGAAAAGCCTGAGAAGGAATAAGAAAATCACACAATCATGATAATGCATACTTTCTTTTGTATAAACAATTTGTCTTACTCATCAAAACCTATGAGATAGACAGGGAAATTTGTGTTCTTCCTGTGCTAAAGAAATATATAGAGAGAAGGTAAATAAGGTATAAAGGTCAGTAAATGGCAGAGTTGGATGAAGAATCCAGGCATCTCTGCTCTGCTGCTCATTTACAGGGGATTCACTCTAAGAAGTTCCCTAATTCTAACCCGGCCAGCATGGCTCAGTGGTTGAGTATTGACCTATGAACCAGGAGTCATGGTTCCATTCCCAGTCAGGGCACGTGTCCAGGTTGCAAGCTCGAACCCCAGTATGGGGTGTGCAGGAAGCAAGCTATCAATGATTCTCTCTCATCATTGATGTTTCTATCTCTCTCTCCCTCTCCCTTCCTCTGAAATCAATAAAAATGTATATTAAAAAAAAGAAGAAGTTCCCTAATTCTGAAGCCACATTCACTTTACATAACCCAATGAGACAAGTGTGGACCAGTCTGAAATTCAGGAGCTCTGGATTCCTGTCTCCACCCCAGTTAGCCTGATTTAGTACTCTTGGGCAACATGACATCATAGTGAAGGACATGGGTTCCAGAGGCTGTATGTCCTCCATTCCTTCATTTACTAGCTCAATGAGCTTCACAAGTTAGTTTCTCTAAGGCTCAGCTTTCTCATCTGTAAAATGAAGATGTAAAATCCTTGAATCCAGATGTACATGAAGCCTTTCTTTGAACTGTAGTGACTCCATTTTTAACTTTAGGTTTTTAATCTCATGATAAATAAATTGAAAATGTATTAAAAAGCTTTACTGAATTACATTATGAATTTTCTTGGCTAGCTAGTGGTTAGAGCAACACTGTAATTATTAATGGGCTAGGAATGCTTTGCTTTGTGAAAATATTTGTCATTATTCAAAAGGGATGGGAATTAATGTCAGCTTTCAAACCTTAATCAACATAAGTTTATAAGTATTTCTAAAATCAGATGTCCCGATTTGATATTGATTCCTAGATGCCAGAGGATTCATTTTCATTTATGGGATGAATCCATTTCTTCAAATGTATCCCAATAACTGATCATAGTTAACAATGAATGCCTTGTTTTCCCCTCATCTTTCTTTAATTTTGTTTTGATCCCCCCAAAAATGTAGGATTGAAATATAGCAGTAATAAATATTAAGGTGAGAAATTCAATTTTAACTCCAATCTATTCATTCAAACACACCCCCAAAATCTTCATACAAAAATTAAGTAGTGATAACTTCATTAGCATACTTGTGTGTATAAATTCAGAACATGTTTGTATCATTTAGCATGCTCTCAGTCACAGTAATAGGAAACTCAAAATGGATTAAACATTGGGGAAATTTTTGGCTTGCATGGCTGGAAATTCAGAGGGAAGGTGAACTCCAGAGAAGGCATTATCCAATCATTCTGGTCGAGTCCCTTTAAAGCTCTCTCAGCTCTGTCCTACTCCCTGTATGACCTACAGGATGGAGCAGGATGGCTTCAGAAGATACAAACCCTGCAACAACGAGTGACTACAGCCAAGAGAAGAAAAAATGGAGCTTTCATAACTCACTCTTAGAAGACAGGAAACTTGTTGAATTTCCCAGCAAATTCCCCCTCAGATGCCTTTGGTCGAAATTGGATTGGATGCCCTCTTGTGTGCCAGTATTTGAGGCTGTAGAGTAGTGGAATAATGACCCCCCCAAGGTTAGTTTGCTTAGCTACATAATACAAAGGTGATGGTTAACATAAAATTGGGATTCTTTAGAGAAGGGAAATGTGAAGAATGGATGCTTCTGTGTGGGCAACCATCAGTATCTTCGACCTCTTCCAATATCTACCCATTCACTTTTCTAAGAGCTATTAACTGATTCATTATGATCCAGAAACACAAATATTCCTTCTGATATGCCCTTGGAAAAAAAGTACAAATGTTTCAAGTATTAAATAAATTGGCTTGAGCTATGAAATTTTTATACTGTTGGCAAGCAACCATGTCACAAGGCATGGACAAGATTAAACTTTAAGTTTAATGGCTGGGATAAGTCCAAGTATAGGGAAATAAGCTTCAGCAACTATATTTCATGCACATGTAATAGTGCATATCCCCTCTTAAAAATGTAAACCAGAAAAATGTAAACCATGCACACTAACATTAAGGAGGAAAAATGAGTTTTCT